TAAAGAAAGAAAGAAAGAAAGAAAGAAAGAAAGAAAGAAAGAAAGAAAGAAAGAAAGAAAGAAAGAAAGAAAGAAAGAAAGAAAGAAAGAAAGGATGGGAAAGGTACGGGGTGGTCCTCACACCTCAGGGAACATCGAACTGTGTTGGAGATATTGCTAAAGATGCAGATTCCTGCTCCCCAGCCCCAGCTTCTGATGCGTGGGCTGCGCTGGGCCTGGGGAACTGGCTACTCTGGAGGTTCTGCTGTTGACCAGCCCCCTCGACTGCCCAGGGGACTCAGGAGGAAGGGCAGAGGATTCTCCGAGGCCTGCATTCTGGGGAGACATTTTCCATCTCATCTCCCCACCCCACCCCCAGGGCAGCATTTTGACTATGGAAGAGGCTCTGCTCTGCTCTGCTGATCGGGGCTGGGCTGGGGCCTTGGGGACACTGAGGGGAAGGCTGGGCAGGCAGAGCAGGAGGGGTTGAGGTGGGGACACCCCCCAGCTCATAAGGCATCTCGTGGGGGTGGGTGTTGTGTCCACCTGCCGGTGGGGAGCTGCATAGGGTGGCTCAGGAGTGGGGGTGGCTGGGTTTTCAGTTCGTTTAAAGCTGGTGTGCGTGTGTGACCACTGACACCACTGAATACCTGTGTAAGTGGACACGATTTGTGTACCCTGTCCCCAGCCACGTGTCTTCCTGCCACCCACTAGGACGAGGGCCGACCTCTCACCACGAACTATTACTTCTTCCTGGTCTTGGACACAGACTTTTTTACTTTAAGGAGAACTGTGTTGTCCAAAATCTGAGAATTTTATTTTAAAAGTTTTAAACAGAGTTTAGAAATGCCTATTGGTCCACTGCCTGGGGAGAAGCTTGTTGAGAACACCTGTGAGGCCTGGGCAGGTGGGCCGGGCTCCCTGCGGGAGGGGCGTGGGCTCTTGCCGTGGCCCCCGCTCCAGCTGCACGCTGTTTGCTCGCCCGTCTCCCACCCTCCCCTGCCCACACCAGCGCTGCCCTCTGCCTGACCAACGTCATGGCAGCCCAGGGTCTCCTGTGGGGCCTGCAGTGCTATTGGCCAGCTCTCTGGTCAGCTTCCCGAAGGGTGTCAGAGGCCAATACACCCAATGCTCCCATTCGGATGGGCTTGATGGCCACCAGAGCAGGCTGCCTCTCCCCACATCGCCTCTCCCTGCCACGAAGAGAGGTGCAGAGCAGATCCCAGCGGACAAAGTGGACCCCAGGAGGCTCTGGATGTAGAAACCTCAGGGTCCAAGAGATGGGGCAGGTGCAAGGCCCTGGTGCAGGATGCAGTGCTCTGATTTGGGGGGTGAGGTTTCTACCCTTCTCCCCTGGAGGTCCGCATGGGTTGCTCACCCAGCACATGCTTACAGCCTCGGGGTGTGCACCGTGGGCCTTGTGCTGCCTCCCGGGGCTCCACGTGGGCGGTGACATCTCCCCGCGCCACAGCACAGGGGTGCACAGGCTGGTCTCTCCTGACTCTCACGCATCATCCAGATGTCCCTCTGTCAAGGTGCATAAGGCTTCCCTCAGCAATGAGCCCTTTGGACTCAGAGGAGCCTCGTGGGAGACCCTGCAGTCTCTTTTGAATTAGGGGTCCAGGAGTCCTCTCTCCAGACCCTGCCCCCAAGCTGGGAAGGCGCAGCCGTAGGTGGGGCTTGTCCTCAGTGTGTGTGGGGGTGCCCCATGTTTCCACTGCCCTTTGGGTGAAGGTAGGGCTCTTTACAATGAGGAGAAGCTGCAGCCACTAACACTTTAGCATGAATAAGGACAGGCTGAACTTGACGAGGAGCTGGGATGGGGAGGTGGCATGGTGAAGGTCAGCAGCTCAGAGCTGTGCCCCTTTGGGGAGGCGGGCGAGCGTGGAGTGCTAGGGGTGGGCTCTGAGCATGGGGGTGCTGGAAGGGAGGCAGGTCCCAGCAGTGTGTGGCCAGGGCCCTTCAGATAGTTTGGGGTACGGTTTGCTTCGCCCACCCTCACTAGACCTTCCCAGACCAGCTTCCATCCCACTGCCCAAAGGAAGGAGCCCTGTGCCCCCAGCACAAAAACAGCAAACACAGAATGTGACTTCAGAGTGTACTGTGGTGTGAAGGAGGTGGGGGGATAGGCAGGGCCCTGAGCTGCTGGAGGTAGTTAAGAAGACCCCCTTCAGGAAGGGCTGCTCCTTGTCACGAGGGCCCTGGAACCTGGGCTGGATGTGGCTGGGGCCGTTGCAGCAAGCAAGGACCAGGGAAGGTTCCTGAGCACAGGGGCCCTAAGCCCCTACCCCTCTGTCTCCTGCACCCTTGAGCCCCTAACCTGCCTCCTCTGTTCTCCTCCTGCTCCCCCAGCACCCGTCCTTCCCTCTTCTGGCCACTCTGAGCTCCTCGAGTCCCCAGGAAGACCCCCTCACTTCTGCACCTTCCTTTGCTCAGGTTCTGTCTCCCACTGACCCACCCGCCTTCTCCTCCAGGCAGCCTTCCTGGACTGCTTCGGCCCAAGCAAACATTTCCTTTGCTGCTCTGCAGGTGAGCTGGTGCTCCTAATCCTGAGGCACAAGAGGTTAGTGAGAAATACATTCCAGGACCCCACCCTGAGAGACTTGCTGGTGATGGGCCTCCTGCGGCTCTCAGGGTCAGCCACTATGGGAAAAGCTGGCTTTGCCCTTAAAATGAGCACACCAGAAAGAGCTGGAGTCCCACCTCCTTTATTAGACATGCGGGGGGGGGGGGG